CTCTGGGGCTCCGGTCGCCGCATCCTGTCTCGTGCATCGATCGCCCGTGTGGCGCATCATCCCATGCCCGTTGTTTCATTGCGGGTTGCTGCACCTTGTATTTTCTTTGATGTTTTGTCTGTTTCCTCACTGAAGCTTTTCACAATTCCACTTGTACATGTTTTACTTGTATGATGTATCAGTGTGTAAACTACTCGAACTAGAATTTAATTCAAATAATGTGTATGTATGCAGTCATATATCTAGGGTATTTTGATGTAAATGCCAATTTTATTTCATATCGTAGAAAAGAAAGATTAAAGATCTACCCAATTGTTAAGATGCATTGCTTGTCTTGATCCAAGGAACTTATATAGGTGTTGCAAAGGGCATTTACCTCATCGAAGTGGTAAGTTTTTAGATTTGTATCAACGATAATTGTTTCTCTTGATGTTTATGCTTTATCTTATAAAAATTGCTTTTGATGCTTTGAAGGTGTTGGCTCTTCTTCCACCATTTATGAGGTTATGTGAGTGATGAAGCAAACCATTGATTTGGTACTCTCTTTTTTATCACATACTGTTCTTCGTAGTTTTGGCCATGTTTTTTTATCTATTTTGTTGTATTGTTAAGCATTGAGTTTAAAGTCTAAATATTTTGTGCAATTTAGCCATATTTTGTTTTAGGTATCTTTTGAGGTAGCTAAAAGCCGACATTAAGTTTTTTCCTCACGACAAATTTTTTTGGGCCCGGGGCTTGCTCCAATCCTGGCTCCGCCGCTGCACCGAATACAGTTGTCAATTGTACATGTGCACTAGTTCGGCGAATAGATGATGATAGATGTGTAATATGGATGATAGGAATAGCTTTTTATAATTTGAATAAATAAATAAAGCAAAGTAGCAAGTAGCAAAAATGTGTGGAAACGGTGTCTCAATGCTTAGAAACAAGGACTAGGGTCTTATTTTCAGTAGTGCAATCTGTCAACAGTACTAGCATAATTGAATCATATAATAATCCCTCAACATGTGATAAAAAATCACTCCAAAGTTCCTATTAAAGAAAGTATGATGAAAACGTTTATCAACCTTTATGCTTAGATTACTCCAATGTCATGATAGGAATCTGCAAGTTGATTACCAAAACATATATCAAATGATCTCGATAAATTACCCCATTGTCACCACGAGTACCCACAAGTAAGACACGCGTTAGGTGGTCTTAAATTCAAAGTATTCAATCCAACATACAAAACTTCAAAGTGCAAGACTCAATTCATCACAATAAAGATAGAGAAGTAAGAACATCATAACAAAGCTTATGGTACATCAAGATAAATCAAAAACATGAGATAGAGATCGAACGCATATCTACTGGTACATAGCCTCAGCCCTGAGGGTGAACTACTCCCTCCTCGTCATGGAGGTAGCGGAGATGATGAAGCCTTCAACAGGGTGTTAGAATATGGCTCTAGATGAGATCGCTTCAGAACAGAGGATTGCGGCTGCAGATAACTCATATAGGTCAACTTTAGGGGGTTTATGAATTTATAGGATTTTTCCGTGTTGGAATCACACCAGGAAGGTTCCTGGAGGACACACAAGATCAGGTAGCGCGCCCCTTGAGCTTGTGGCTCCCATGGGCATCTTCTAGTCCTTCCCGGAAGCTTTGTTGGTCTCTTTTCCTCCATAAAAAATCATCATAAATTTTTATCAAGTTTGGACTTCGTTTGATATTGTTTTCTGCAAAACAAAGAAATAGGCAAAAAAAACAGGAACTCATGCTGTGCACTAGATTAATATATTTTTTCGTAAAAATAATATAAAAGTACACCAAACCCATATAAAATTATTATAAACATGACATGAATACTTCATAAATTATAAATAAGTTGGAGGCGTATCAGCATCACAAGCTTAATTCCTGCTCGTCCCCGAATAGGTAAATGATAAAAGAAATAAATGAAGTATGAATACTAGAACATTGATAAGTTTGATCAGTGATAATTTCAATCAGTTTTCCTAGCATCATAATTAATAAAGCGTCGTGGCCTTCCGAAAAAATGAAATACAACATTTTCTTTTGCAGAAAACACACACACGAACTAGTGACTCTTGTACATACAAAATTTCAGCCGAACCCCATGACCTTAGGAGCGAGCTCAAGCAACTTGTCGAGCGCATCCCCGGAGAACTTGCGCGCGAACATGAAGCAGAACTCAACCGCCCCACTGGCGCCGGAGCCGCACTCCCCGTTCCCTCGCCTCATCCCCTCCAGCAGCTCCGGCGTGACGTCCCTCACGCCGTAGCTCGCCGGGTGCGGGCCCGGTCTCGGCCAGTCGGTGTAGGTGAGGGTCCGGTTGGCGGCGCGCGCGCCCCAGCCCAGCAGGGTCACCAGCGTCGGCATGTAGTGCTCCAACATGTTGGCTATGCCATGGTCGCCGCGGAACACGGCCATGTACTGCTCCTCGGCGACGACGTCGACGGCGAGCTCCCGGTCCATCTCGAACCACTGCGACCCCTTGCGCCATTGCGCGCGGCTGATGTTGCGGCGGAGGAAAAAGGGTGCGTGCCGCTTGCGGGTGGGGAAGCTGTCGATGAAGCTGGCGTTGGCGCTAGTGAGGAAGGCGTAGGCGGCCGGGAAGGAGAGGAGAGGGATGCACGTCTCCGACAGCAGCGCGAACCGCGCGTTACCGAGGTCCAGCAGCGCCGTCCCCAGCAGCCGCCGCTCGGCGTCGACCAGGTTCATGTTGCCCCAGCTCGTGTTCTGCGTGTATAAAAAACGTAAAGTCGGAAATTCACTTTGGCTCATAGGTGTATATGCACCCATTGTCTAGTACACCTTCTAAAAAGTTAAAACATTTGAAGAAAAAATTCTGCGTGTACATCTGGACATTATATATTTGTGCACAAAGTTTCAGTGAAAAAGATATTTTTTGTGGTTGTGTAAAAAAGATAATCTTCGATGCATGATTACAGTTATTCACAAGATATTTTTTTTATCTTTTTTATACATGCCGCAAAAAATTTCTTTCTTTGCGAAAGTTTGTGTGCGAACAAGGAATGTCCTGATGCACCCGTGAAATTATCTACACCTATGAGCCAAAACAGCACCTGGAAATAAAGGTTATTATCAAGTAAATTGGCACAAGTGGGGATAGCTCAGTTGGGAGAGCGTCAGACTGAAGATCTGAAGGTCGCGTGTTCGATCCACGCTCACCGCAACCACTATTTTTTTGTGTGTGTGTGTGTGCATCGTTTTTCTTATTTTAATTTCGCATTTCGCTGGTTACCTGGCTTGGGATCATGCGGCCGTAGAAGACGGAGTCGGCCGGCGGCGAGCCGGTGTAGGCGGGGCTGGCGTGGACGTAGATGGAGTAGAGCCCCTCGTGCCCGGCGAAGAACTTCTCCCACAACGGCCGCAGCGGCATGTCCCCGGTCACCAGGAACAGGAAGGCCACCTTGGGCACGATGCGCCGCGGCACGAGGGCGACCCTGGGCACCATGGACGCCCTCCAGAAGAGCTCCTCGTCGGTCATGTTGTGCGCGAGGCCGCCGCCGCTCGGCGCGAGGAAGTCGGCGAACCCCATTCGCGCCGGTGGCGGGGCTTGCGGCGGCGTGGGAGAGGGCGACGGTGGCCCGACGCCGCACCCTACCACCGGAGTTGGCGATGACCGCGTCGGCGACGACCGTAGGAGAGAAGGCAGCGGCTGCAGGAAAGGCGTGAGATGGGATTCCTGGAAGTTGGCGTTGTACACCATGCCGAAGACGAAGCCCAAGGAGAGGAGCAGCAGGACGGTGACCACATTGGAGAGGACGCTCCCGGAACGGACGGCTTCCATGGGCTTGGCCGTGCTGCTGCTGCTACTGGCCATGCTACGTCGGCATAAAGAGAAGCAGCTCTTGGACTCTTATTACTTATACACACTGGACCGCAGCTACGTCGGGGAGGCACGTGCAACCGTCCATCCTTGCTTCTCTGCTAATTCTACTACATGCAAAAGTCAGCAGTACTCCTAATAATATTATTTTTCGAGCAATTTTAACATGCTCCCTCTTAACCCCAGATCGCAGCAGGTTTCTATTTTAGATTAGAATGGAACGGTAGCGTCGGTTCAGCAAAAGTCTCTGTATTCGGTTCACCTGCACATGGACCTCTAGGTCGAAAGTTCCTGTAGCTTAGGAGGAACACAACGTAGCACCGGGAGCTTCTCCCTTGTGTTGTGTGTATACAGAGCAAAGTTCACAAATATGCAATCATGAGCAATCTCGGGAGTTCACAGTTCATGAACAATCTCGGATCTTACGACACCTGCATGCACTCAGAGATGGGGATGACCGGGTCTCGGAGAAGAATCCTAGGGCTGGTTGCCATTGCTCCTCCTGAGGGCATACGCGATCGCCAGACCACCGGCGGCGAGGGCGCTTGCCGCGATGACGAGGGCCGGCGAGCTCCTGGCTTGGGCATACGCTACGCCCCACCAAAATATGAAATGTGTTCCGCAGCTCGATTCAAACTTTTCCGTTGAGAAGTCCTGCATAAATTGAGTAACATGTTGTATCAATGGGGCTTCTCGATATGTACACTTCTGATAATAGCTAACATGTTTTGGTTTATTCAATAACATAACCCCCATTATCACTTTGCTTAGTTTCGTGTAAAAAAAGGCCAAATAATTCAACAGAGCAGCCTAGGTGGAATACAAACTCAGAAGGAGCGTTTGATTTTCTTCTCACACTCACGGTCACTGCTGCAGGCTAGACATAAATTCATCGCAACTTCCACTGAACATTTCTAAGGAGAAATCCTGCATGGTGATCCCCAAGAAAATTAAACTGAATCATCATCAAAATCAATGAATAACTGGTTCTAACAAGAGCATGCTTGTCAAATAAGGAAACGTGATAAAAAGTTGCAGACTGTTTTCAGAACATTTTGATGTGTTTTTTCGTCAAAGATATTGTTACAGTGTAAAATATTGCAGAAAACATTCAGGTGCATTCTGATTTGCATCTGGCTAAATTTTCATCCCATAATATTTCCCCTACAGGCCTACACTAGTATAGGTTATAAACATTTCTACAAGATCAAGCATAAATTATTCAGAAATTTGGTGTGTTATTGTGTTTCTTTGAACTTTCAGAGCATCCACAGGAGGAAAAGCTCTCAAAATGGTAACCACTCACTTGTAGTATTTTTCCTGGGTTAATTATAGACCCAAAGTGGTCGGACCCTTCCCTGGACCCTGCGCAAGCGGGAGCTACATGCACCAGGTTGCCCTTTTTTTTTTAATTATGGAACATGCAGGCTCCTTGCTCTGGATTAATCATGATACATACAGAAGTTGAGTGCAGTTTTCACTCACCTTGGGAAGTTTATGTTGAGAGTTCAGATGATCAACATGGAGGCGAACATTAAAGGATGCAGGAATCCACAATTTCCTGTCTACATCACAGTAAGTCTTTGAAACTATATCAAACAAAGTTTGAGCACCATTCTCTATGGATTGCAGAATGGAGGCTTCTCTAGCCTTTCGATTCCTACAAATTCAGTAAGATGCACATTACATCAGAACTAATGTCTGCAGTATCTACAAACAGATAACTGTATCATACTATCAGGCATGAACAAGAATGAAGAAATAATAATATAATTGTGCGTCGATCAAGAGGTGCGTATGTAGAAAACGATAATAGGCCACTTTTTAGAAGAAACAGGAAAAGTTGCAACAAAGGAACAGACTACATTTGAATTGATTCGACAAATCCGAAAGTATAAAGTTCATCTTATATTCTGCTAAAAATGAACTTGTTCAACCATAGAACTTGTGAAGTGTAGACAAAGTTTGCAGTAGCGATTAATTCCATACTTGAGATATCCACAAAGCATATGCTTGGGCCATAGGTTGATTCTTCCATGCATTGGAATTAGCACGTGTGGCGACATCTCCAAGAATTTGTATGTGGTTTGGAAGTAGTCCTGCATAATTCAGAAAACCCTTATGCCAATGCAACTCTGATTTAGACAACACAACTCTCTGGAGGCAGCATTGCTAGAAAACGTAAAGCACAGAAACAAAGTAACAAGGTGGGAAAGAAACCAAGAGATTTTCCACGATTTGCGAACTTCGGTTATAATGCAAAATGAGCTTCCAAACGAAAATCAGTGTTACCTTCATGTTGCCACCAGCTCTATTGTCCAATATTGCACTTCCATGCCTGAAAATGGCAAAATTATGCATCATTACTTCACAGTGTTTATTTTATTTGGCATCACTTGCCTGTTTAAAGTGTGATTTTATTCTGTATAACTTTTGAGGAAAAGCAGTTAGTACTTTAGTTCTTGCATCTTTTTTATTAATATAAAATAAAAACACTGGTGGGTGTCTAATATGCTGTCTTATAGAGAAGCCTCTGTACATCATACATAGCCTATATATGACAGCCCAGTAGTTTCCAAATGCTTAGCCTTACTGTTTCTTTAGTGAGTGGGGCCAATTTAAAAATCCGAGGATGTTGTAGTCCTTGAAGCTGATCATTCTATTTGTGTGTCTTATCCATTTGTCAAATATAACATCAACAAGTAGTACAATTTAGATATGGTAGTTCGATTTAATACTTGCACTCAATTTAGATACCAGTGAAGAATGGTAATAGAGTTTCCGCAACTGCTGCTGTGAATATGCTGAAGAATGATGCTTACCCTACACAATGATCTCCGACAATTAGTGCATTGGTATTGACATGGAGAAGCCCCATATGACCATCTGTATGACCCTAGTATTGAAAACATAGAGAAGTATCGATCAATAAATTCAGTATGTTCTGGTCTAAAATATGATGTAGATTCCACAGAAACAACTGAATATATGCTTCAGATCAGATCAGATCAGTAAATGGATGAACTCCAAACTCTAAAATAGACAAATCGTATGCTTCTGCTATTATGAGTTCACATAGTTAATACAACAGAATAACAGAAATATAGACTTCTTCAAATGTGAATATTGGGTTGCTGTATAAGTCAACTGTTTTCCAGAGAATACTTTCTAGGTCATGCAGAGATCATGTATAGTGTTGCTACTATTTTGCTTCAAAACAACGTCAGGAATGCTACATTTTGTGTATTTTTTCTGAAGTTCTAATATTCTTTAATTCTTATAAAATGTAAATCCATTCAAGTAACAAATGTCATGCCACCATCTTTTCTTAAAATAATCATTGCAAAATATCATCAGTGGTTGGCATAATCATCCTGTATGGACTATGGCATGCAACTATATTTGAACAGCAAGAAGAAAAAAAAATTATACCAAACAAAAAACATCGGACTGCCAAATGCTACTATAACCATTAGGGTTTATGTTCTTGTGTTGGACTTTACAAAAATTGCTACATAATTAAGTATTTAATTATTGGAAAGTTCAAAGGAATTATCATGCTAGGTAAGGAAACAATGGCATAAGCTAAAACCAGAGAACGATTCTCCAAGGAAAACACTGGCTTACAGGAGCAAAAACGACTTGCAGTTCTTGGTCACCTATGCATATGCTTTCACCACCAGTCACAGCAGTATAGCCGGTTGACCAATTCCCTATACACCACACACAAATGAAATATAAGATGTGTATGAACAGCACAAATAAATTAATGAGTATTAAGTGTGAGCTAGTTCACAGAGATAGCCATGATATATAGCAGTTGAAGATAGTGGCTAGTGAGTAGCCTAATTATAATGAAATAAAATTGGATTATTATCCACTACCGTCATTCACAGGCAATCAAAACTAAAACAAACTAATAGTTTGACATTTAATAATGAATAATGATCCAACAATACATCACCTTAGAAGTGTCAAACATACCAGGACAGAGTGAAAACCACTATGAGGAGGACCATGTAGAAAGGTATACCGACCTAAGAGAGTATCCAAGTAAACAAGAAGATATGTTGATTGCAAGCTTCACCAGAGATATTGCCGTTTTTATGAGTTTGACCACCTCGTACGCCTGATGGCTCTCTTGCCCCACCTTCCACCACTAAAATGCGCTGACATGTGGTACCACACTTATAGTGGACAAATCTTCCAAATCATTCAAGGTGATGCAAATATTAAATAATTGTCTTGGTTTTTAGATATAATTTTCTTCCCTTTCTCCTTTTGTTTGTAAACCCTGCTTGCACCATTAATCACAGGTTTATGACTAGCAGGAACCTCTTAGGATGGTCAAAACAAGGTCTAAGGGCAAGGTTTCACTTGCTACATGTCAATGGAAGTATCCCAACTAAACCCATTCCTGAACTACTTTTGTACGCCAACATCAGGAAAACAAATATGCCATGGCAAAGTGGATAAGAAATTTTACAATTTTGGTTTAAAAAAATGGTGTAGGTCGTTACCTTTCCCTATGCGCTTCATCGTGTTTTCATGTGTCAAAAGAACAGCATCAGGATTGCATCTCTGAACAACCGAAAGACCTAAGTCATTCAACCAAATGCAGCCAGTTTATTTAGGATGGACAAATAGGAATGATAACAATTAACACAAATGAGGAGCTAAAGAACTATAGCATGGTATATATTTCCAGCTTCATGCGTTTCTCTCCCAGATATGATCTTAATTTCAACAGAAAAACTAAGAAGTGCTACAGAAAACATTCTAACGTACCCTCAACATGATCATTATGATGATGTGTAACAAGGACCAGTAACTTCTTTGGAAGGGAATTGACAAGATCTGCAAGCTGAAGATGGCAGGGATGTGATCATTTGTTAGGACAGAATGAATAGTTTCTGCTTAAAACAGTATTCAATAGAAACAACTACTGTTGTAGGCCAAGGCCTATAGCTGTGCATGCAAAATCGTCTAATAGATTAAAAACAAAGCTTATTGCAAAGCACAATTTTGTGCACTTTTCGTTTGGGTACCAATTACCAAATCAGCAACAGAAAAAATCAATGAAATGGAAGGCATACTTCTCAAATATTCTACTTATGTATAAGATAATCAAGTTCAAAATTGTGAAAGTAACTATGCAATACTTCTGACAAATGAAAAATCAGCAAGGGAAGAAAAAGCACAACTGTTACCATTTACAGCAAACTTGTATCTGTCATCTAACAAACTTTGAGTTTAAAGCTCACATTTTAAAGAGTTATACAACCCACCACAAATCAGATCTAGTCTTCTCAAATAATTCAAGTAGATTCTTTCCGAAACCAAAAGTTTGTGCGATTATGCACCAAATTGTGTTTTTTGCACTGATAGCTGCAGCTCTGAAAAGTGAATGTTTTCACATGACGTCTTCAGCGCTTTTTGTCCCCTTATGTCACTCTGGTATTCCTTGGTGATTCTAATCAAATAGGCAAACATTTTAGGCACAAGTTCTTTTCCTCATAAAGCTAGGGGTAGTTTTGAGGCCTGTATGACGAAGTTGGTTTGAGTAATCGAAGTCCCATGGAAGGAACTGAAGCAATTAAACAGATTATAATACTTTTAAAAAAATAAGCCCAAGGCAGAAGCTGCATTCACAAGATATACTCTCTGTCAGACTGTCACTGTATGTAGAGCTAAAAGGATGTAATCTTAGATAATGCTTTTACCTCTGTATGAACCTGTGAGCAACATCCAGGATCTATCAGTAAAACATCACCACAAGCAAAATAATCAGGGCGCTTCGATCCACATGTACCACTGGTTGCTTGTATTACCACAAGATTAGTCGTACGAAAAGGCCGTAAGGTACTACTCTTCATTGGTACAAGGGTAATTCCGGGAGGGTACTCCTGTCACCAAACATCGCTTCTCAGGAAAAAGGAGACAGATCGGCATGACAATTGACTAGAAACCGAAATTTGATCCAAACAAAATTAAAATTACACAGACCTGGGAGACCAATGTGGAGCCAGCTGTACAATCTGAAGATAGATCCGATTTCACAAATCCAACATGCACATATGGCCCAATTCGAGTATCACCGGGCTTCACGTCAGAAAGCAATTCCCGAGCCCCCTCCGTGGACATCCATTTACAGGAGTCTGCAACGCACAACTCGAGTTTACGGTGGGTTTGGTGGTCAGTCAAATTCCTGGACACAAGCATTAGTAAGAAATGAAGCAGCAGACCTTGCAACGCCTCCGGTTTCGACTCGAGCGACGTGATGACGAGCACCGTGTTGACGCCCGCGTCCGGGCCGAACTCTGGTTCCTCGATATGCTTGAGGAGCCTCCACTCCCCGCACATTGCATTCGTCAGGCCCAATTGGCTCAAAATCTAGCGAGTGAGAAGAGTCCATCTCTTAGATCAGTTGCCGGTTGTCAAATTATGGTTCTACTACGGCAGGTAAACAAGGCTTGTACTAACTCGTAATCCATAGCACCCCCGGATATATGTCACCAGATTTTGCAAGCTACAGTACTTCACACTAGAACAGCAGCGCAGCGGAGCGGCCAGATTTCACTGAGCTAACGGTGCGTCACCTGGTCGAGAGCGGCGGGGACGTCGAGGCGCGAGAGGTCGAGGGGGCCCTCCGCCTCCGCGTCGGCGACGGCCACGCCCGGCCTGGCCTGCTCGCCCTGCGCGAGGCGCCGCAGGGGCGCCGACGGGAGGTCGTAAAGGTCGCTGTCGACGAAGCGCCCGTACTCCCCCTCCTCCTCCTGCACCCGCGGCGGGGGCGGCTGCCGCGCGACGAGGAACCCGGCCTCGGCGCCCGATGGGCCCGTGACCGCCGCCGCGAGCCGGTACGTGGGGGCGCCCATCTCCACCAGAACCACAGGCCGCGGCGGCGTTGGAGTTGCCGCCGACTCGCTGGGGTTATCTCTGGCTTTGGGGTTGGGGTTGGGATTATTGGCGCCTGTTGTGAGAGGGAGGGAGGGAGCTTGGGTTGGTCCGTCGGCCCGCACGCCGAGGCCGCTGACGACAAGGGGAGGAGAGATGCTTCCGGAAGAATTCAATTCGAATCTGGGCGTGATGACGGCGTTGGTTGGTGATCTGCTTCCGCGGCCGGGAGTGAAGAACATGTCGTTCATCTTAGTGCCTTTCTTTGCCTGTTACAAGTACACGATTTTCCCAACATTCTGAAAGTTCGAATGTACTCCCTATGTGAAGAAATTTTGAATTAACAAAAATAAATAAAAATAAATATATCTAAAATTAAAATACGCCTAAATACATCCATTTCCGCGACAACAAATTCCGGACGGAAGAAGTATACGAGGAAGTACTACCGTACTTGTAGGGCATGGTTTTGTCGTGAGAAAACCAAATTTATTTCCGACGATGTAGGAGGAAAATGCGGTGAAACTACTGTTCACACTCTAACATTCATTGTTGTTAAAGGAAAACGTTTCCTCACGGCGCGCCGGCTAAAACTTGGATCGGTCGCGTCGTATGTGGCTGTGGATCAGGCGTCCCCCTCACATAGGATTGGCGTCGCCCGCCCGTGGTCCCCCCTCCCCCTCCCCCGCGTCGGCACTGTCGTGCGCCCCCGCAGCTTTTTGTGATGCCCGACCACTGCCAGTGAGCTCGTGCACTGCCTCCCGGCCCGTCGCCATGACCTGCAGCCTTCGTCATGGTCGCACGCGACGAGGACCTGACACCGGAATGCTTCCAACCAGCAGCAATGCGACGAGCGACGAGGTACAAAGGGGGAGGGGGTACCATCGCCGGCACTGGGCTGAGCCACAGGAGATGCCATGGCTACATCCTGCCATGGGCGGACCCGCGCCTATGGAAGTGTTGCAACCGTCACATGAAACAACTCCAATAGTTGTTGAAAAAACCTTTAACCGTAGATAGGAAAAGCTTCAATCGGACTGCCCAACAAAGAAAAGTTGCAACCATTTGACACAAAAGCTTCAATCATAGATAGAGAAAGCTTCAACCACGGCACCGCGCAAGCGGAAAAGAATTGCAACCATTTTGACAAAAAAAAAGCTTCAACGACAATATGAGTGTTGCAACCATTGACAAAAACGCTTCAAGCCTATATAGAAAAGGCTTCAACAATCATCAGGGGAACTTCAACCAGCCAAACCAATCAAAAGAGCAAAGACTTTCCAAGACGCCTCCTCCCCAAGAAAAGCTTAGGGTTCATTTGCCTCCCGTCAGCGCCGCCGCCGGTCCGCCTTGTCTCCGGTGGCCTTACGGCCATGGCGGCGCGGTGGATCCCGGTCTTTGCCGGCGGGAAGGCTCTGTTTTCAGACGTTTCTTTAAGTTTTGTTAGGGTTTGTGTCCTGCTCAGGAAGACGAGACGACGGCAACTCCCTGAAGATGAAATAAGGTCTTCCCCGCCTAGCCCCAGTTCCCGTGGTGTGTCTAGTATCGTCGGTGGGCGTGTCGAAGTGTGTCTGGATTCCAGCAGGTCTATCCTTGGTGAATTTGCTCGCATCTGGTCGTAGTTCGTCTATGTTTGTGTTTCTTCAGGTTGGATCCTTTAAATCTACGCTACTCTTCGTCAGCAGCGGTTGCCGTTCTGTTGCGTTGGTCATATGGCGTTCTAGCACGACGATTTCCCGATTGTCTACTACAATAAGTTTTGCCCGGCTCCGATGAGGGAGGGGCAATGACGGCGGCGCGCCTTCGGCTCGCTTCAGTGCTTGTAGTCGTCGCTAGGTGGTCTACGGACCTGGATGTAATTTTTATTATTTCTGGTGTTCGTTGTATTGCCATAATTGAAGATGAATAGATTGGAAGTTTTCTCGCAAAAAAATCAAAGTGAAAAAGCTGCAACCCTTGTGAAAAAAACTTCAACCCTAGGTGAAAAAAAAGCTTCAATTGGCACGGTGGAAAGCTTCAATCAGCGAGAAAAGTTCCAAACGTCATAGAAAAAGCTTCAAGCTGACTCGCCAATGGCGGTGAGCGGTGACGTTGAGAGCTGTGTCGGCGACACGACAGTGAAGTGAATATGGCTCCTGCTAGGTACTGCAACGATAGAGGGTGCCGATGTGCTTCAAGGCGGCGCCTTTTTTGCTACGAGGGGCGACGACTTCCTACTAGACCGGGGGGCGAGTACGGATACTGCGACGGCGACGAGGAAGGCGACCAACGGTGATAGGGACGGAGAGCGCATCCAGCAGCGTGGGACTGCAGGGGGGAGGGGAGGAGGTCTAGGTGAGGGGGGTAGTCGCCGGCCGGGGTGGGCGCACAGTGAAGAAGAAGAAGAAGAAGTCAACGCAGGGGCGGGGAACATATTTGATGGCTTGAGCTCGTGGATCGGACTGCTGGGCCGCGGCCGGCACGCCGACGCCTATCACTTGCCATTGTTAAATCAATTTGTTTTGTTTTCCTTCGTACGTCATGGTATGCCCAATTTGTGGCAAAAAAAAGCAAAAAATGTAAGTATGCATTGCAATCCCGATAGTTCTTACTCCCTCCGTTTCTAAATACAAGTCCTTTAAAGATTCTAATATAAACTACATGTGAAGCAAAATGAGTGAATCTATACTTTGGAAAAAGGTCTGTATTTATTCGTATATAGTCCATGTTGAAATCTTCAAAAAGACTTATGTTTAGAAACGGAATAAGTATATCCGAACGGGCAACCCAGACCGCTCAAATCCGAAATCGAACGGTCAGAAATCTACCGCGCAATGGTAACTTGGCGATTGTCGTTCTGGTGCGTGGTCTTAGCACGACGACTTCCCATCTGTCTATTATAAAAGATTTACTCGGCTCCAGAAGGAAGGGGCGATGATAAAAGCGTCTTCGACTCGTTTTAGTGTTTGTAGTCGTCGCTAGATGGCCTACAAAATGTAATTTTTTTTTATATTCGTTGTACTATCATGATCGATGATGAATAGTTCAAAAGTTTTCTCGCAAAAAAATGATAACCGGCCACTAAGAAAGATGGATATTTATGCCATTTTCAATATAGTTGTTATCAGAACTTCTGGGTGGCTTCTTGTGGGCATTTCTCTTTATTTTATTTTCATTTTATGTATTGCCATTTCTTCGTTTCAATGCACCTGGATTTCGAAAACCCACTCTATATGTCATTCTCCTGGAACGTTGACCCAGGTTTCTGTCTACAAATTTCTGAGATGTGCCTGCTATTTCTTTTCACAATGGTTTCCCCTTGTATTTGACTTTTCTGCGGAGTTTTCCCTCCAAGAAAAGAACATCAAACGCAAGGGAATTACATGGAGGAAATTGTAATGGCCGATTTGCAAGTTGCAACGTGTTCGTGTTTATGTGCTGTGATAAAATGACGAGAATATCCAGAAAATTTATGTGGCATTTTGGGCCCAATGGCAGATTTGCAACGAACGGACCGTCTCGCCACGTTGGGCTATAGCCCAGTTGAGCTATACAAGATTCAGAGTTTCAGACACACCCACCAACTGTCCAAACCGGCGAACCCCCGCCCCTCCCCAAATCTCCATCACCCGCCGCGCCGCCGCCGATGTCTCCGCCGTCCTCCTCCGACGAGGCCGCGATCTCCTACGTCTCGTCCGAGGAAGACGACATCAGCCTGCCGCCGTCGCCTTCCCCGTCCCCCGAGCCCTCTCCCGAACCTTACGCGTCCTCCTCGGAGGACGCGCCTCCCGCAGCCAAGAAGCCGCGGCGACCCCGGAGCGGCACCGCGGGGCGGGCGCGAAGCTGGCCGACCGCGGACGAGGTGGTCCTCCTGGAGGCCGTCGTCGCGCACCGGGAGCGGCACGGCCGGCCCCCCTCCCGCGACGACCTCGCCGCCGCCCTCGCCGGCCGCCTCCGGTACAGCGGCGAGCAGGCCGCCGAGCGCGTGTCCACCCTGCGCAGCCGCTACTACGCCTCCGTCCGGCGGCTCTCCCGCGGCACCGTCCCCGTCACGGACGACGACATGAGGGTCTACAGACTCTCCAAGCGCCTCTGGGAGGGCACGGTGGCGGAGAGGGCGCATCGCGCCGCCGACAAGGCCGCGAGGCGCCACCACGAGCGGAGGGGCTCCGCGGAGCTCGAGGCGCTCTACCCCTGCCTCGCCGCGGAGGTGGAGGCGATCGCGTCGCGGCGGCCGTGCGGCGGGGTGCTCAAGACGGCGTTCGGGATGATCGGCGACGAGAGGGCGGCGGCGCTGGAGGCCAGGGTCAGGAAGCAGCGGCGCGCGGAGGTGAAGGCCGGGATGAAGCGGGCCGAGCTGAGGGGCCAGGTGGCCAGGACGCTACTCGAGTTCATCAAATGATTTGATTTCTTCCAGCAAAAAAACCGGAATAGATAAATCCCGAACATTCGGAATTTAAGCATGTCATCCCGAACATTCTTTAATGGTAACTTTGTTTCAGTTTGATTTTTTGTCAGAAAATTGTCATGTTTGTCAACATCGCCTTAACTAAAGTTGCCACGAAAAGGGTTCGGATTAGTATGCTTAAAAATCGAACGTTCGGGAGTTATTGAGGTCCAAAAAAAAGTAGTGATTTTTACGTTCCTGGTAGTAGCACATGGTTATTACTTTTACTGATTTCTCAAATGAACACATGAACTGTGTGGAGTACTTGCCGATTTACCGCTGCATCAAGATCTCATTTACTACACAGTATGAAACAGGGCATTGAAATTCGGCACGTATAATTAAATATCGCGCTTTGAAATTCGGCAAATTGGAGTTTTATTACCGAGTTCCGACACATATAAGGAGTTCATCTGTACACTGAAAACGATGACATCCGATCCAAGGACTAACAGCCAGCCTAAATCTCGCACCTCCTGAAGCAATGCCACAAAAGCTCTTTGATTCTGAGATGTGACAAGAGATAGCTGAGCTTTACTGGTGCCGCAACACCCTGAGCACCAGCCGGTTTGCATGGCGCCAGGCGATCTTGCGGCTCGCTTATTCCAGGAACTACTCATAAACGGCAGAGACAACATCCCCAGGTCCCAAGGATGAGGCGCTTGTGCTCGGTGCTCATTGATCGCTCACCAAGAAAGCATTAGCATCGGCTTTACTGGGCGGGCTTAGCTCCCGCTCAATCTCTTCCAGGGATCGCCCCTTGGTCTCGACCACATTCCCGGCAATGTACAGGACTGCGAGAGCACACACGGACGCGAATCCCAA